CGTAAGAGAGTCCACGTAGGGGGCTCCACGTAGGGGGGTCCACATAAGCAGGGTCCACGTAGGAGAGTCCACGTAGGGGGTCCACATAACCAGGGTCCACGTAGGAGAGTCCGATAGGTCCACGCGAAAGTTTACTTAGTGAGTTCACCTAGGTAGGGTCCATGTATGGGGGGTCTAGGCAAGGGGCAGGAGGGTCCATGTAAGGAGGGCCGTAATGCCAGGCTGCGCAAAAGGAAAGTTGTTGTGAGACTATCTACCTACGGAGCTAGGTCCAAGTAAGAGGGTCCACGCAAGTAGGGTCCATGTAAGAGTTTTAGATATGGGGGCGTTACGTATGTAAGCAGGGGGCATGTAAGGAAAGGCACCAAACGAAGGTCGACTGATAAGAGGGTCCACGCAGTTCTCTTGAGGGCAGCCAAATGCCTCGGCATTCAACCAATACCTGCTTTCTAGTTCACAGCCAAGAGAAGATTCTGTTGAGCTTGACCCTAGTCCGAATTGGTGAAATGATTCAGGAAATGCCTTTCCGCATGTGTTTTCCGCATGTTTTAATGGCTGGGCGGCCCCAGCAGATCCTGCACGGAGGTACACTAAAATACCTGTTCGGCTATATTAAAATCCGCATATTTTATTGTAATAACCGTAGTATTGTGTTTCTCTTCCAAGAAAGGCGTGATTGGGTGCCTTCTCGAGGCGTGTGGAGCCCACATTGGGAAGCTTTGCGCCAGAGGCCGTTTGCGCTCAGTCCCGTCAGTGCACAATAAGCTACACCCAACCGGTTACAGCTTCCAACAGTAACACAGGAATCATAGGGGTAGATTCGGTTGCAAGTTGCTAGTCATTGCTTTGGTTTGAACAGTCGACCTTTATGTACAGCTGACTCTAGCTTTGCACGCTTCGTTTGGCACGTTGGAATGCATTTGACACACAGATAGAAGTGGAGATGTAGTCATGATTCCCATTTCGATGCCCCATCAAGTTCACAAATCTCAGTTCTCGGGCAATACACATATGTTTACATTCGTTGATCGTGTTTCGTGTGAGATCACTAGTAGGTGGGAGGCCATCGCTATTAGGTTGGAGGCCATCCTGTTAAGATGTAGGCCATCACCATTAGGTCCATTGCTAGTAGGTTGGATGCCATCGTTAGGTAGCTGCCCTCCATGGACGTCTTACAGCCATCCGAACAGAGGTGGCCAGGGTTTTACAGGACCTCCGACGGACGGAAGGAACCACTGTACTGTACTCAACACACCCATAAGAATGTGAATCATATAACAAACGCATCTAGTACTGTATCATTTCATGTTTCTTCTACTGAGTAGGGGGTGAGCATGAAGTCATCCGTTAAGTGTTGGAATTACCTGAATAGGGTTTGCCATTCAACCAAGAATGGATGCTTCTTGGTTAGTCCTCTATCGAATCGAATGTGACAGACTTTTTGACACAGCCAAAATGTGAAACAGACTGAATACGGCAGCTCATGTCACGCCCTCTTTATTACCTATGAGATCCGGTTGTAGACAATTGCTTTTAGGTTGGAGGCCATCGCTATTGGTACGTTTGCCAATGCTTTTGGTTGGAGTCCATGAGGAGTCGCAGACCTGCGAAGAAGCTGATCCTTCGCTGCAGGCATTGGTGCGAGCTTGCATAGTTCTCGTACTGGATGGTTCTAGTGATGGTTCTATATAGAGTATACACATCGACCGCTCTTGGACGACCTGACCAAAAAGCGATCAACCAGTATACAGGATACAGTCCGTGACCGTGATGTGTTTTTTCATTTAGACACTCTGAGTGTTTTGTTTTAATGTTTAAACGTTGTTCTTTTGAACCAGGCCCTCTTTTTTCTTTAGACTTTGTTTCTCACCGGATCGCCATTTTTCTTTATAGATTTATAGACAACATTTTGCGGAAGTAAGATTATGTTTTATTGGGACATAAAGATCTTGGCCTGGGGCCCCTGTTGCGAAGTCGGCATGGGCTGAGTCCCAGTGAGTTGTATGCAGGCGCGGCGCAGATGAGCTAGCATGCACTGTGGAAGTATATATGTTGCTTTGGGTTGCAACCTGGATCGCTGCAACGCACTTTGTGCTCCTGATTGCTTTCTCAAGTTTGTTGCAATCCGCTTGGAGGCTGGCAGGTACCCTAAACTCGTTGTGGAGATGAAAGGGACAATATAGTCTATAACTATATGTCTCTCAATGTACAGACATCGCATATTTGCGCTGCACCACCGCAGGCACAGCTGCGGGTGCTTCTGCAAGAGCTCTCCAACGTTCGCTCAGACGCAGCCACTGTGGCAGCAGGAGGCTTGAGATGTTGGGATACCCTATTTGCTTGTGACAGGGCTTAACAGCATGCAACTTGATTATACTTGGAAGATGACGCAAAGATACTGGTAGTGTATATAACTCTACATGTGTTCATTATCATGTTACATCTTGATATATCTTGACAGGTGTAGAGCTGTGCTGTCATAATTTGTTGTACTCTACTTGACGTTTTCATGTTCACTCTGCAGATGTAGTGCAGGCAGTCCGTGTCACTGGTCCTCCTGGCGTGCGGAGCCGGTGGCCATGGCTCCACCAGTCAACATCCCGCAGGTCAAGTCGGAATGAGGATGAAAACGAAACAATGAAAGGTGTAAAGAGCAAGAACTCTGAGTCCAAAACACAACACACAATAAGGGCTTGCTGGTTGCAAGGGCAAGTTCGCACTGTTTGTTTCCAATAGCAGTTTCGGTCCAAGTTATGATTCTGAACACGCGAGAAGTCGGTTAAAATAAAACCCCACGCAAACAAACGATGGTGACGCGTTTGGTGGCGAGCCAAGAGCCTCTGCAGGCAGACCTAGCTGAGCCGATGACCTCAGGCCCAGTTTGGGGGGCACAAAACTAAAGACGCAAAGCCAGCGACATAGTTAGTTTTCTTGGAAAGGCAAAATTCATACAATATCAAAAAGACTGCATATACACATGTTTCGTCGACTGGTGGGCCAGTCAAAAGGTTTGTGCGCTGTGTGCCACCTTTTCAGGCAGGCCGCCCCTCTTTGTTTGCCCGCACTTGACTGGGGATGTAACCTTTGGTCAGACAGAGACTTTGCTGCACGTGACTTTGCCGTTCGGTTTGGCAGAACGCAAGAACATCTGCAACACGTATTTGACCGATGAAAAGGTCATACAGAGTCGTACAGCATAGCCCTTCGACACCCATAAGGCTTATCATGGTACCAGTGCATTGTACCAGGAAGCCTTTTGCATGACTTTGTTAAGTATCTTCTGTCTTACTATCTCAGGCAGCGTTGAATAGCCCCTTTGATGCAGCGTGAGAGTCGTGAGAAATATGTTTAAAGATTTAAGGGGCGCTCGTATTTGTGGGACAACACTGAGTGGCAGGGGGGTCAGGAGTCAATGTTCAACTATTGTTCTCAACACCCAACAGTTTCGATGCTTTGTCGAAGACATGAAGTTTGGAAAGAGCGTCCTAATAATTTAATACATACCCAGATTATATATATATTATGTATAATATAGTCAATGAACAAATCGTGGAATTCCTTGGAGACTGGTCTTGTGGTCAAGGATGACGAGGAGGAAGATTTGGAAGAAGGACAGAGAGGACGGAGGAAGGAGAAAGAAGAAAGATACTGAAAGCAAGAGCTGGTGCCTCTAAGGCACTGGTCTTTCAAGGCCCTCTTCAGCATCTAGCCGAGAGGCGGGCCCACACGTTCGGAACTGTCCTACATCAGCAGCTGCTGGACATGTTTTAATCTGAAAGCGAGCAAATTACATTTAGAGAGATCATCAAGATTTGCGGCTGGCGTTTGCATTTTGCAGTCATTTGGCTTTTTGGTACTGCCCACGCGAATACGCTGGCTGGACATGTGGATGTTGCATATACAGTAGTCTTATAGTTTGGAAAAGAGTGACTTCCCTGTTTTGTAGGCGAAAGGCTTGCCCCTTGCGGTTAAAACAGAAACGTTTTGCTGCCAACGGTGGTCATCGAAGGATCGGCCTTTTGTTGGGCACAAAGCAGACATGGCACACAGGAAGGCATACGGGACCCGTGCATTGCTGTTTTGTTAGACAAGAAGCCAATGACATAGTTTCAAAGATGTTCAAGTGTTGATTCTTTTTGTTGTTCCTTTCAGCTCTATTGCAACATACACTGCTCTTCATTCCAGATCATGGCAGTTCTGCACTCAGCAAGACAATCCAGCGCAAATGCCAAATTCACCTGTGAGTGGCAATGTCATGTCGCATACATTAAAAACAATACTTTGGGACACTTTGGGACAACACAAATGTGGAACAATGTGGATGCCATCCGATTTCATCCACTTTTTGGACCTGGTTGCTGCAAGACGCTCCATCAACATCCATCAGCAACAAATTTGTTGTTCACATTTTCACAAGTTGCCCTAAGGCGTTGATGGATTTGTTGATTGAACATTCGGAAGATGAGGCCCTGACCATATTATGACTTGGCATCAAACTCTGTGATAGAGTAACTGCTAGAATCTGCTAGAAGGATCAAACAGTTACAGTATTTGCAGACCGCTGGGTCGGTAGTGGCCCATCCAGAACTAGCACATGCGTGCAAAGCAGGTGCATTTGCTGACATACTTGTTGCTATAGATGGGACAAGATGACAGAGCCTACAAGAGTTCTGTCTATGAACTGTGCAAGCGAGGCAGCTCCGCCTGTTTGGCCAAAGGCCAGGATGCCAGTGAAGTCCGCAGAATACACTCTTGAAAGCAACATACATGCTTGAGGCTGCAGAACATGAGAAAGATGCAACAAAAAGAGGTAGCTAGAATTAGTGCAGTCTAGCTAGCACGTATTGAAACGGGCTGCTTTGGCTTTGTTTGTTGCTGGTTGCACACAAGTATGTTGGTGTAAGGTCTTACTTGCTACAATGCTGCTACAAATGACTGACAAGCTGGCTAGGGAAGATTTCACTGATTTTGTGCATGTGGCGGTTCCACAGCGTGACCACAGTTTTTGACGATGAATGAGGGGCCTCTCCTTGTTCACAGCGAGATCACCAGCAAACTACTTTCCCCCGGAAAATGGATGACAAGGAATTTCTGTTGGGCTTGGATGATTTGTGGCTGCGCATTGTATGTTGCTCTTGGTTGACATCGTCCCAGGCGCCAAGCATGCAGGAATGGTCAAACCTGCTCTTAGCAAAGGAGACTTTGCGTGGGTCAAAGAGGAGAAGAGAAGATACACACAAATTGATACAAATTGTGTAATCACCAACAAAAATCAAGGTGGCGCAACTTGCAGTATGTTGTTTATGTCGCTGTCGCACAATACATGTTTGCTACAGCACCAATGCACCAATGATTTTGATATTTTTTGAACAATTATATATATATACATATACTTTTTATATACGTTGTTTATCTTTTGTATCACAATATCACATTGAACCGCTGCTCCTGTAGTCCTGCCACCATGCTGTTTCTTGCAAGTTCGTCCTGGCAGGAGACCCCAGCATCACCACGGCTCGCCCCTCGTGGTCAGGCATGAGAATTGGATGCAACTGACAAACAAATTACATGTCACAAGGGACACAGCTTTACACATAGATAAGCACTGTGAGAGATTGTGTCGCTCATGCTTCTTCAGGAGCTCCCCCCGCCGCCTTTAGGGCGGCGGGGGGGGGGCGTTTGGATATGTCATACGAGGATATGTCATACGAGGTGACCCCAAAAGGGTCAATTGGGTGACTCAGCCCGACCTGACAGGTTCGACAGATCACCTGTGAAGTTCAGCAGGCCGTGCACTGAGAGATGATTTTGCTTTGTTTTGTCGAAGAATGCTCAAGGAATGAACACCTTCATTAGCAGAAGCGCGTGCGGAGGCAATTTTGTGAGCATCAACCTGAATTTGTGTTTGTATAGTTTTGTCGCAGATCTGATGGCCCAACCTGAATTTCAGGACTTATCGGATGACCACCGTTTCTCCGTGGAGGGCAAAGACAAAAGTTGGCCGGGACGCTTTGGGCGGGTGGCCAAACACCTTCAGTTTGTGCTGTGATTTATGAAAAGTACCACAACAACCGCAAGAACATCAATTTGTCATCCACCGTTTGTTTTCTTCATAATTCTTTCCGATAAGAATCATGCATCGTGTAGAAAGATGTAGCAAGGAAAGCGGGTTTGCCAAGCAGCGAGAGAGACAAGGTGGAACATCTATAGATAATATTAAAGTATGTGTGTTATGTATATCATTATTATAACAAATTGTGTATAAATCCCAATGTAGCTTTATTGCACTATACTAGATATACAGTTTTTGTGTACATATATATACTGTATATATACTGTATATGACATAGCCATATTATATTGGATATACAGTATTGTATGTTCATGTACAGCATGTATTTCCTCAGCATAAGCCTGCTGACCTTTGGCGAGGTTTCTCCAAAAAAGGCGGTATCAGCTTTCACCGACCCAGTGCAGAGAGGTGGGCGCAGGAAAATGAATCATGGAGTCCACAATTACCCGTTTATATACTCCGTTTACAATTGCCAACAGTCAAGAAACGTCCAACAACGTAGTGACAGAACACTGCTATTTTATAGTTGGGTGCTAGGTTTCGTTTGGACATCACCTTTCATGGCAGCCTCTTTGGCGACGACTATGCAGAGCTTGGGGCCTCAGAACAGCCGATCCAAGCACTCTTCAAATTGTTACAAAGTATGTAATTTGTCACCTGGCGTGCATCACTACGCAAAATGTCACAGAGGCACAAACAACTTCTGCAACACTGACACCTTCACTCGAAATTGAAGTGTGTTAGACAGCAAAGAGTCAATACTTGTAAATGTTGGTTTTTGGTCAGCGCTAGGTGGCATGCAAGTTTGCGGTGAAGATCAGAATCGCTCGACTTTGCTGCCATAACATATATCACCACTACCACGTTCAGGTAAGGCAATCACGAAAGGTAGCTTCGGCTACCTGAGTTCTACCCCCGGATCAAAGCCCCCCTCATCTCATCTATATTATAAGCTCAAAAGCGGAAGACGCTCTTTGTCTTTTTCCAGCAAAGAAAAGGGCTTCAGATGTGCATCAACCGTGAACCCTTCAAGCTCACAACCACAACGAAAAGCATGTGCTGGCGTTTCGACTCCCCTTCCAATGCAAATTGGAATCCTGAAACGGGAGCACCAGCCCAGCAGACAAAAGTGTTGACTCAAGCCCTCATGAGGATGGCTCGGCACATGACGGTATGCCAAAAAGGCCATCGAAAAAGCTGCACCTTCGCAAAGCTTCACAACTACATTCACCCTTCGAATGTGTGTGGCTTGAAAAAAGAAGATGATCTAAGCTTCTAGGCCTCTCAGCTAGTCACCCTTTGAGTAGCACATGGAGCGACTTCCCCTTCGATTGTCAACTCGGAGGAACATGCCGCCCTCCTGAAAGTGGCCAATCGTCACGACGCCCGCAGACATGCCTCCTGAAGGCAAAGGTGCACCAACCTCGGTGTCAAACAGCTCTGTTCTCCAGTGTTCGTGCTTGTGCATCACGATCTGAATGGTGCCATGGGATGTGACCGACTGAAAAGTCGATGCATGCCCTCGAAAAACACCTTGATCCAGCTCCCGAACCAGGGCTTGCGGGAACATCCAGCGATAGCTCCGAAGTTCATGAGTTTTCAACCTGGCCAAAAACTGAGCCATGGATTCTCCTTCCCTGGAGAGGTGCACATCTTCAAAGAAAATATGAGTAGGAGCCGCTTCCAAAGCCATTGAGTCTGAATTCTCAGCGGCCGTCAAAGGTTCCAGCGAGGGTATCGAGCTTTCACTGGGAACTGAAGAGCCTCCACCCAGCCGCCGAACAGACACCCCTGTGCTACCGAAACCCTCCTCACCACGAGAGGTAGATGACAAAGAACTGGTGGATCGCAAAGGAGGAGAAGCAATCTTTTCCAAAATCAGCTGACCAATCCTATCACCCTGGTGGATCTTTAAGACCTCGGTCCCGTTATTCACCAAAATGATCTTGATCTCCCCGCGATAGTCAGCGTCAATCACGCCACCCGCCACATCAACTCCCCTGCAGGCAAATGAACTCCTGGGGGCAATCCTTCCATAGCACCCGGAAGGAACCTCAAGAGCGATGCCCAACGGTAGGAGCCTTCTCTCCCCTGGTTGCAGCTCTGCCTCCACCGATGACGCTAAGTCCCACCCAGCAGCTTCGGGCGTTCCCTTCACAGGCAAATGAGCTCGTTCATTGAGAAGCGTCACCTTCAAAGCCTCCTCCTTGGAAAACAAACGCTTCGCTAAGCTCCAGCCCAAATCTTTCACAAGGTGGAGAAGACACACCAGTCCCGCCAGCATCAAGAGCCAACCATGATACACCCAACTGGATGGTTCTGGGGTTGAGGCACACTGATCATCCGCCGAGGTTTCAGCCGCCAGTGTTCCAGGCATCATCGACGCTCCAACCGCCAACAACGAAATTGATTTCATCATCTTCATGCTGTCCGGAGAAGGCATGGGGTGCTTGTCCTTCTTCTCAGTGGACTCCTTGAACATCTCTGAATCTCCAAGCCCAATCCCTGCACAGAAACGTTCCAAAGACTGGGTCGGAAGCGCTTTTGTGAGAGCATCAGCCCACAACGAGGTGCCAGGGCGGTGATCCACAGACACTTCCTTGAGTTTCACCGCTTCTGCCAGAGCGCTTGCCCGAATCCTCAAATGCCTCGTTCGCCAACCTCCTCCAGATCCCGAAGCTAAGATGAGTGCGGCCCTGTTGTCATTGAACAGCTCCAAGTCCACATCCTCAATCAGCAACGAGACCAGTGACCTGACGGACCTTCCGGCTTGCAACCCCTCCACCAAAGCCCTCAGCTCCGCCTCCGCAGTCGACAGTGACATCAGGCTTTGCTTATGGCTCTCCCACTGAATCGGAGCTCCTGCAAGCAGCACCACAGTTCCTGTGATGCTATGACCATCGCCTGGACCAAATGAAGCGTCCACCAGCACTTCCAAGGTGCCACCACGTCGTGGCTTCCTTCTCTGAAGGTCTGGGTCAGCATCGACCGGCACTTCCTTAGAGTAGTGCAGGCCGTAGTTGACGGTGTGCTTGATGTATGCCAGAACAGCCCGTCCCAGCAAAATAGTCCAGCGAGGCTTCTTGACAGCGCATTGAGCCATACGCATCACAGCCCATGAAATGTCAGGTCGAGTCTTCCCTGACAACCAAAGCAACTCCCCCGTCACCTTCTGGGCTTCCCTCACCTTGGGCAACGACGGGGTTTCTTCCTCCTCCATGTCCTCCGGCACCTTGATGAAGGGGGACGGTGAGGTGCCCTGGTGTCGATCGATGATTTCCCTCGTATAGCATCCTTAGTGCACAAAGTACGATAGCCGCTGAATCTCCATGCCCAGGAACCTCATAGGAGCACCGTTCACGATGGCATACTCCGGAGATGAAGTGGACCACCTGCCTGAATGGTACTGGAAGCGGCCTCTGTTACCATTTTGGGACCAACCATCAGGATGTCGTCGACATACACAATCATATGACCAAGGAGAGCGCCCCATTCCTTTGACCCATCCTCCGCCATCGACTTCACTTCTTGAATGGCCCAAAGATTTGGGTCTTCCATTGGACGAAAGGCAAATTGGAGAACTCCCCCATCCTCTTGATGTTGAACCCCACCTGTCAGCGAGCCTCCCATCTTTTGAAGCTCCGCATCTCGAAAAGAGCTCCAATCTTTGGGCGAAGTGATGAGCCCGTACATGGCTGAGGTGACTAGCCAATGTTCACCAGGCTTGGCGAGCTTAAGGGCCTCCTCCAAAATTTTTGGCGGTCGAACAATGACCGTTTCTCCTTGAGCTTTTGGTGCCAGGAGAAAAGCCGATTTCACATCCAGGGACAAGCATTCCCATTGGTTGAGCGAGGCAACACGAAGCGCGGCCCGCAACTGTGTTGAATCAGCTCCAGAAGCGTAGATCTCCTCACCAGAGCGCGCCTCCATGTAATTCCCACAGCACACGATTCTTGACCTCCACCTCCCGTCCCCCGCCTTGCGAGTGAAGACGCCCATGCCAGGGATGAGTTCAGCACGCTCCCCCCTTCTCCTGAGCTTGGGCGATGATCTCCTTGGTTTGGTCTTCAGTGATCCGCTGAATGGCCTTGTTGGCGTCAAAGTTGTTGATCTCCGTCTGCAACGACGGAATCCAGAGTGGCAGCGTTCTCTTCACCTCCTGAAGACTCACCGTCCTGGTCTGGAGAAACAGCTGTTCTTCATCCGCCACCTGAACCGCCTCCGCCTCCAAACGCTTCATAGAGGTGGATTGAGACTTGACCAACTCCTCAATGTGCTCATTCTCCGAGTCCAGATCATAGACCATGCCGACCAACCCGTCATTCTCCGCCAAGTTGTTACTCAGACGACCGAACTCTTCATTCGCCCAAGCTTGGCCTCGATGAAGTCGGCATTGGAGCTCTTCCGTTGACAATGCAGACAGGGCAGTTTTTTTCAGTCAATCTTCGCCGAGGAACGACAGAGTGATCCAGGATATGTGCATGGTCGGCCCTCTCCTCCACAGTTACCACATCCGTCAAGGAAGGTGGATCCTCCGCCGAGACCAAATCGCTCGTTCGAATGAACTTGCCCTTCTCCACCTCGACGATGTGGCCCCCACTTGTCAGACTCATATCTGGATCTGGTCCTCGAATGATGCCAGGCTTTTTTCTTGCTCTCCAGTGCCCTTGGAAATCATCCCACCCTTTGGTGGTGACCATGACCTTTCGACCCCACGGCAACAAAGCTGGGGTTGTGAAGCCCAGTGCTTGAAGTTGCAGGCGTCCTCGACGTTCACCCACATGTTTCGCCATCAGAGGCCATTGTTCTTCCCCTTCACCTGACGAGCGAATCAGAGTGTTGATGCTCCTGCGGATGATTCCAATCTCCGCTTCAGCTCTTCCATTGGCCTTCCAATCGCTGCCACTTGTGGAGGTCCGGTAAATGCCCCTCTCCGCACACCACCTTTTTGTGCTTCTCATTTCCCCTGCAGCGTCACTGTGGATGCGACGAACCTCCAAGATACTTCAAACGGGCCACCATTCGAGCAATTCCAGAGTTGAGCTCTGAAGCATGACGTGAGGTGAGCGTCTCGACAAGGGTGTAGTTCTTGATGATAACCTCTTGTGATTCCACCTCCAGCCTCTCCCATTCTTCCAAGGCTTTTGGATCACCTTCCCCCACCTCCGGCTCCTCACCCTCCAGCTCCGGCATCAAGGGCCCTTCTACATCTTCTGGAGGATCTTCATCTCTCAATACCTCCTTGATCTTCACCGGAAGAGGGTCTCCCCCATCCGATGTCTTTCGCACTGGGATCGCATAGACACCCACAAGGAAGTAGCGCGCCTTCTTGCGATAGTCCTCCCCAGGTCTGAACGGTCCACACACATCCAGGCTGAGGGTCATGGCATCCGGATGAGGCACCTTGCGGTGCGGACGGCTCCCTTCAAACAGGTTGTGCATTCCCGAGAAAATGGAATGCGATCACACAGTACATGAGCTTTCCACTGGTCAGCCGACATCTTTGAAAGGCCCACCACATCGTCCACTGGAGAGTTCAAAGCTTTTCCATCCAGCTCGAAGATGATGCCCTTAGTGATTTCTTCTTTGAA